ATTTACTACCTGTCATAATAATAAAAAAATATAAAATACAACAAATAATACTGGGAAATTATTTATATAAACTACATAAATAATATATAATCTATCAGAAAAAATTAACTACTAAAAAGATTATCATATGACTAGATATTATGGACTGGTATGTAGTATAATCATAATAAAAACAATTTTATTTCATAAATAGTTTACGAGAAAAAAATTTATAAATTTAAATTTGTTTATACATCAAGATGATAATTTTTTTTTAAAGTGATGATAAAAAGAATCTTCAAACAAAAATTTTCAATTTTTTAAAAAATTTTACTGTATATAAAATATTATAGATAATAAAGAAATATAAGAAAGAAGAAAAGCTGTGATGGGTAGGAGAAATGACAACACTTAGGTGTGGACAGTTAAAAAGGCCTAACTTTCTCCTTCGACTGACATCAGGCGGTGTGGGACACACTGCCACTCCCAATTCTCCTTAGGTTCAGTCAGTCAGATACCACACTCACTGCATTCCTTACACAACCTCCAGAAGCTACAACAATCTAAACTCATTCTTTTTCACTTATTTTCTGTCACCATGCAATAATAAACAAGATTATGTGAACTTGAACATGAATTTACTGGCAGATAACAAAATTTTAATAGTGATTTTTAAAATTTTGTTGGATAGAATGAAATTTCTTGCTAGTGAAATAGACAAAATTTATTTATAAAAAATACTCAAATATTTATATTGATAAAAGATTTTAATTTTTTTATAAATATAATGAATATGAATAATTATAAAATAAATATTTATTTAAAAATACTAATTATATTTATATATAATATAAATCGTGAATTTATATTTTTATTAAAATAATATTTATCTTAAGTTTATAATAATTATGTAATTAATATAGTATAATATTAAAAAATTGTTAAAATTAATTACGACATGTAAATATTATTATAATAAACATTTGGAATGATGCACAATAAAAAAAACTTAAAAGATTATTTAGACCGTGCTTTCAATTAATCTTAATTAAGTATATTTAACGGGATAGAAACAAAGATGAATATAACACTTCAGCAATCACATCTGTTTAATTAATCCTTCAAGAATATTTCTTCCAAACAAAATAAAACATCATGGTTTGAATAGAAACAGTGTGAAGAAAATTTTTACTGAGTTTGAAAGCGAAAGTTTTACTTTTAACAACCTCATCCTGATTTAATCTATTGATTTTGAGAGCCAGAATGCTCCAGGGCATAGCTGACTAATACGACGATTATGATAAGGTAGTTGGTGTTTCTAAACTTATACCAGAATTGCAGCAATCAGAGAATAGAGCCATAAGAGTAATAACACATCCTCGAAAGTTAATTTTTTATTTCAATCTCATTCCTACAGTGAAATATACTAAGAAAAATTAAACAAGTGATAGGGCAATGCAGAAGGGCAGCTAAAAATTTTCAGAAAAGATAAGGGCGTTGGATTGGTCATGAAGAAAATGAAATATTAACAGTTAATATTTTCTTCAATGTATTTATTTGGTATGAGAGTGAGTGAGAGAAAAACTATAAAAAAAAAAGACAAATTGCAGTATTTTCATGGAGATAAGGATGAAGACGTGCAGGACTCAAAGTGGTGGACTTTTGAGGGGATTTATCATGTGACATAAATGTAAACACCACATGGTACAAATGAGATCGTATATTGTATTTTTGGACAAAATAAGAAAAAGAAGATCAATGCTCTCATGTCATGCCATTACACCTTAACAACTCAATTCAGATCATACAATCAGAAACGGATGAATTCATAAATTCAAATGAATCAAACAATAAATTATCACATATACAGACAACCCTTCATGTTTCACTTAGGATAAGAAAATTTAACTAATATCAACTAACAAATAATTCTAACCTGTATCAACATAAATAATTATAACAATATCAATTTAAAGGTATTTTTTATCAATATCAACTAAAAAAAAATTAATTTACTTCACTTGAAAAATTATTTTCATTAATGTTGATTAAAACACCTTGTTGCCATTGATTAGAAAATAGTTTTGTCAATAATGTTAACTGACAAATAACCACAACTTGTAATATGAAATAAAATACTAATCAATATCAGGTAAAAAAAATTGCAATGACTGCAAGCAAACCTAATTAATTCCAACAAAAAATATATATTATAATTAACGGTAAAAACACAATTAATATTAACTAAGAAAAATTTAATTAACTTTGGTTGCAAAAATAAAATTAACATTCATTAGAAAAAAGGAAAATGATTACGACAATGTTGAAAATAAAAAATCCTTATCAACTTTAGCATAAAAGAATCTTAATTAATATAAAAAGTCAAAACAATGATAAGGTCTCGATTATCTGAAGTTAAGATGATGAAAGAAATCACACCCCAAAGAAGTTTATTTTTCTTTTTTTTCATAGCATACAAAAATATGTGTCCAGGAATCAATGTTATAAAATATAGCTCAGTGGAATGCAATTCAATATAAAATAAGAACAATAACCAAAATATATCAGATTAAAAGTGGTAGTATATTAGCCCATATGACATTTTCTATACTTAACCTTACACTTTGATTTTATTTATTTATTTTTTATTGCAGTCGCCATGCCAGTGGTCATGCATGGATTTTGTTACGTGTTGGAGGTTGCACTGGCAGAAATAATCTGTTATTGTACCCTCTGACTTTTACCTGCAGTACAAATTAAACCCATCATATTTTCTATTCTGAAAAGCTTTCTTATTAACAACATACAAAACACGGAAAGATTGGTGTGAATTCTGAACACCGCCACTGACGAGATGTGCTAAGATGTTTAGGTAAAACGTTTGAATTTTTGCATTTGATAATGAATCATGGTGTCTTGTCATTAACACACACGCACGTAAACGGAAAGAGAAAGGGGAGAGAAGTTCGGAGTTCAGAGTCATGATTTGCATAGTGAGGTTTGGAGTAGGTAAATGCAGATAAGTTTGTTAACATTTGTCTATGTCAAAGTAAGCTCGTGCACGTGTGTCCAAATAGAGAGAGAGAATTCAGGATTTTCTTTCGTGACCGTACAGCCCCACATTTTAAAACTAAAATTTATGTTATTCAATTCAAACATTAACCGAATCAAGCTCTTGGTCTTGGTCCTGGTCTCGGTATTAGCTGGACTATACTGATCCAAACCAGAAAGGCAAGATCAACAAGATACGCCACACAATCATTATTTTTAGATCTTAATCCAACAGTCTCATTCCATCATGATTTTCAATCCAACCTCATACAAAATAATCATGTTCTTGCTAATGCAAATGCTAATACCAGCCACAAGCCTAATCCAAGCTAAATAATTTCACAATATTTCTTACACTTATCATATATGGTTCAATACATGTTTTTCGATAAAATCTATACAGAGAAACAACAGTATCAACCCCATCCCACGCTCTTCTTGTTCCCATTCCTTTTTAGATCAAAAGTGGGGCTAATTTCACTTTTCATTGTAGAAGGTCCTTCAGTAATTCCACAAACCATCAAGATCCACCGGAGCAACAGAAACAGAAGGATGAATGTGATTGTCAAAGTGCCTCCTACCCATATCAAAATTTGAAGAGGTTTCAGGGTTGATATCGGTAGTAAGACCCGTTTCCTGTGAGACACTGATCATGTCCCTCTCTGACTTGTAACCATTACCATTGTTTTCACACATGGCTCTCAGATTGGTGTGGTCCTGCAGAGAGTAAACAGAACCGGGAAATGTCAAATTAGGCACAGCTTGAACACCTTGAGCAGAGTAGAACGAGGTAGAAGGTGGCATTCTGGGAAGAAAGTCCATAGGATTTGGAGAAACCCCATAAATAGAGTTATTGAGGGAATCAAAGACCCCGTCTTGGTTTCTTTGAACATCAATTGGATTGGAGAAGCAGGGCACGTAAGCCGATTCGTTGAGTGGTTTAGTGTTGCCAATAGAAGGTGAAGAATCCGAAAGGGGTGGAAGAGCAGAAGAACCCAATTCATTGGCCAAAGAGTCCAACCTCATTATCCCAGAAATATGAGTTTTCTTCCCGGCTGAACTTTTCTGAAACACCCTGCAGATCACCCACTCGTTCTGCCACAAAAACAACAACCTCAATCACAGAGAAACAAAAACAAATCCAACCAGAAAAGAAAGAAAGCACGGAGAGAAAGAGGAGAATAACGTACCTTTGCAGTTTTGGGGAGGTTGTGAACAGAAAATTTCCCCTCAAGTCTGTACTCGTGCATGACCCAGTTGCTTTTCTCTCCTTTGGGCGCTCGACCTCGGTAGAAAACAAGAGTCTTTTTCATTCCGACCAAAGATTTGCCTCTGAAAATCTCTTTGTCTTTCCCGGTGGCTTTCCAGTAACCGGCTTCGGTGGCCCTGTTGGTTCTCAAGCCAGTAGGGTATTTTCTGTCTCTAACACAGAAAAAGTACCACTCCTTCTCTCCCATTTTGGCTTTCCCTGCAAAAAGGTGAAAGTTATAATTTTATAGAAAAGTGAAGAAGAAGAGAAGAAGAGATAGGATTGTTTTGACTGACATGGCAATTCCCAAGGCTCAGACTTGTTGAGGTCGACTTCTCCGATGGCCCGAGCGGAGAAGTTGGTGTCAATGACCTTCTTGTAGAGGTAATGGGTTATAAGCTCTTCATCAGTGGGGTGGAAGCGAAAGCCCGGAGGCAAATCCATGTGATGGTCGTCCTTAGAAAGAAGCGAAAGCTTTTCCATCTGAAGAAAAAGAATGGAAGTGAATGGGATTTAGAAGAGAAAGGGAAGGTGTGAGGGGAAAGGAAAGATAGTAAAAGAGGGTCATAAATACTTGTGTCTTGGAAGGGAGGAAGAAACGTGGAATGTAAGGTAACCTCCTTTGGTTGTTTATAGCCTAAGCCCACTTCTCTCTTCCAACTTTTCTCACATAACAATTTCTTCTCTCTCATCACCCCCTCCTTCCTTAAATTCCATACATCATCATGCTAACCTAAGTAACTAGTTACTACTTACCTACTTTTTCTTATCTTTACTCTCTCTACTTTATCTACATCTCCACTGCATATTCACCAAACACTCAAATCTCACTGCCATTAACCTTCTTCTCATATTCACCAAACTAAACTATACTCCCTTTTTTTTTTGAACTCTCATTTTAATCACACACCCACACAAATCTCCTTCTAACATCACTATACTTCTTTTTCAGATAAATGGTTCAATTTAAGTGGTAAAGGGGCCAAAAAGAAATGTTTTATACAATTGGTGAATATTATATTCAGTTTTTCCTTTCACAATCACAAGAGGAAAGAACGATTAGAATGAAGCGAGTAGATAATGTATGTTTTTCCACCAAGAACTTTGCGACTTTCACATAGTTCTTTTTAAAAAAAGATTCTGTACTTTCTTTTGAAAAAAGAAAAAAAAAACTCGTTTTATTTTATATACATATATATATATATACTGTCTCTTATATATATTTAATAATATGACATATAATAAAAAGAAGAGTATTTGCGAAGCTACAATATTCCCAGCTGTATTAATGCAATCAATAATAGATCATACCAGCTCGTTCTGCATCTTCCTTTTGAAAATCAGTTATCACTTTTTTTGTAATGAAATTACAAATATGGTCTTCAAGATTTATCGTGGACAAACAAGAAACAATAAGATAAATAGTTTCCGAGGTAGATATGGTTTTTGAGAATTAAAAAAAGAAATCCATAATTTCAAAACCACCTTTTTGTCAAAGTTGAATCTTATGTTATGCGTTCGATGTTGAATTTGAAAATTAGTATACACAACCATGAATTAAGAGACATACAAACTGTGGGAAAGACAAACGAAAAAGCTGTACTTGAATCTTGGATCATCAACTAACTAGTGTCGTTATAACGCCGTCTTTGGCATATGGAACTCAACTCCACCAAACATTATTCTTTTCGAATGGATTTTATGATGTTTATGATAATATTGCATCTTGAGATTGTTAACTTTATTGTAAATTTCAATTTTAACAATTTATAATACATGATTATCCACAATTCTGTCTTCAAAAAAGTATCAATGTAACGTATTATCAACATAATAGAAAAAGTTCGAACGTGTGTTATCCACATTATATTATGACATAGCAAGCATAAAGTAATATGCGTAAAAATTAAAAATTTAATTACAATGTCTTGAAGTTTATATGTAATTAGAATGTCGTGTACGATAATAATGTTTGTTTTTACAATAAATGTTTAGATTAAGATTTATTTAAAGCAATATTTATGTAATTTTTACATTAACGGTGCATGAAAACCAAACTTTATATATGAAAAGAAAATGTTAGTGAAAGCGTCTATTTGCATTAGGGTTGGAATTTGGTGCAGTTGCAAGTATAATGAGAATAGAAATATATTAAAACATTTCCTAATTACGAGTGTGCTTGTTTTACAGACTAAAACTATATTTTGGTAAATGTAAATTTAGAAATGTAATATTCTAATTTTTCTATGTTGTTATAAGCTTTGGAAAATTATTTTAAAATGGTTTTAAATTTTAGGAAAGCGGGCATAACATGATTTTTATACTTACTATTGCCGAAATAATGAGTGAGAGAAATATAATCCAAAAATTCTTTTCTAACTCGCATATTTTTTTTACTATAATTCTTATTGATTATCTTTTACTAATTAACTTTAATAGTTAAAACTTACTTTTTGGTGAATGTCAGTTTAGAGTTTTTAGAGCTCACATGAAGAACAAACCAAATTGTTTATCATTTGAGAAGGTGTTTTTTCCGCCACTAATAATGTGCAAATGTTTTAAGAAAAAAAAAAATAGGGAGAGGAAGAGATGGAAGTAACAGATAATATAATAAAAGAAAGAAAAAAGATATAAAACGACAATCCCCATTATAATCACAAAAGGACGCGAAAGAATTAGTAGTTTAGGTTATATTATACAGGACAAATATTTATTTATATATAATTATAATATAATTTATAATAAGTGAATATTTTCAAACATAAATAGTATATTTTAAATATATAATAAACAATTAAATTATATTATATTATTTTAAAATTAAATAGATATTTAGATTTTTTTTTTTGTAAAACATGGTCACGTGATAATGAAAAAAAGAATGTTACGTATCCTTAGCTGCAAATATTAAAAAATTATATTAATTCTCTAAATTGGAGAAATGTTTTTATAGCATAAAAGTATATAATAATAATAATAATAATAATAATAATAATAATAATAATAATGATAATAAAAAGGAAACAAAATAGATTTTAATAGTGTATAATATGAGCATAATCAGTTATATATCAACTAGTCGAGAGAGTTATCACATTAATCTAATAAAATATTGACGACACAAATAAAGTTGCATGATTAGTTGTAAGGTGATTGTGATTATTAGTTGTTATATTTAATATCAAAGTAACTAAACATTTTCTAATTTAAGCATCGAAATACTTAAAAGATACCAATCCAAAGTTATAGATCGAGCAATAATTGATTCAAATTGAATAAAACAGAGAATATAACAAGTGAAGAGAGAAAAAATTGAAACCAAGTCACCCTAAATTAGTAGTAATCAATCTATCAAGCAGAAACAAATAATTTATTCATCACCATACCAACTATAATAAAAAAAATATTAACTTGAATATGATTCTCACCATAGTGTCATTAATAGAAAATCAAACGTAATTTAAATAAGATTTTAATGCCAATTAGAAAGTACATTTTAATTACTAAAATATTTTGATTATATCTATATAAATTCAATATGCATTTATGAAAAGAGTCAAAGTAACGTATTGATGCTATATAGAATCAATCTGTGAGATATTATTGACTTGGGTGGTTGCAAAATGATAGGTGAATTCCTTGGTCTTTCATAAGCAAATTTGTCTAATATGTAAGATCATGCATAACCACTTCGACCAACTTTTCATATTACAAAGTTACTATTTCATTTTTTTCATTATATTTTAATAATGTCAAAGTTAGATACTGTAATTGAGATAGGTTATGAGAGTCATAATGTTAATTCCTTAAAAAAATACTAAAATGTATCGAAAAATTTAGTTTATTTATATGTTTTAAGTTTGTTTTCTATATTTTGCAATATATTACCTCTAACAAGACTAATAGATCATGAAGCTTGAGTTTTGCTATTAGTAAACACTTTGTAAATTACTCTAAGTTTTTATTGCAATCTTGTTTTCTATTTGTTGCACCTAACCAAAATTTCAGGCCTCATGAGAGTTTTTTTTCATGATCATATATATGACATCTATCACATGTCAAATTTGGCATTGATTGAGAATAGGATCTAACAACATGTAACCCACTACACTTAAAACATTTAACACCAAATTGTGACTTATAATTAGGTTTTTCCACTCTTACATTATTGAAATTTAGAAAAATGTTTCATTTTTATCTCCACATTTACATCTATTTCTAAAAGGTTTTCCTACTTAGAGGTTTAGCAACTCAATTACCACTTTTTAGATTATCCACCATCTTTGTCTTCTTCATAAAAAAATAAATTATTTAATGAACATAGAAATTACTACCTTTTTTGAGCTCTTGTTTCAACCAATACTCAAACTTTTTGTATCTTTAAGTCTTCGTCATGTTTTTGGTATAAAATCTAGCTATATATTTGAACTTAGTAGCATACTGAATAAATAAAAAAAATTCTTGTTTTAGTTGTATGAGCTAAAACTTTTTTGCATGATTATTAAAAGTATACATTATAACAAAATTTTAATATGTACTTAACCAAGTCGAGATGATCACTTTTTTCAACTAATTTCGTTAAAATTGATGATAATTTCATAAAAAAAGAAAAAAAATTCTTTAAAATAAAGAATAACTTACTCACTTTGAAAATTTGATTAGATAGAAATTATATTTGCTTTATCAACCAACTATTGTGAAGTGTAATTAAATTCTGAAAATGATGTGGTATCAAATGATGAAATTATATAGAAATTAAGAAGAGAAAAGAAATAAAAAAAAAGTGAAAAAAGAGAGGAGGGATTAGTGCACACTTTTATATTTATGAATATTCAGTTATAAATTATGTAATCTTTATTCTATGAATTTTAAAATTATACATTTTTTATGTTTTCATTAACTGATAACCAAATTGGTAATTTTTTACCCATTGTAACTATTTTGAGGTGACTTTCACCAAATAGCGAGAATTTTTTTTATATATATAACTAGTATATTGTTGGAAATAGTTAAATAAGGGATGTAAATAGAGGAAAGTTATAGAGATACAAAAGAGGAAGTAAGAAAGAGAAGGAAAAAGAAAAAAGAAGAAGAGTAAATAAGAGATAGAGATAATTATATTATGCAAATCTTAGTATTCAATTTTAAATTTTGTAATCTTAATTCTAAGATTTTTAAAATTATACGATTATATATATTTTTCATCAAGTGACTGTCAAATTGGTAATTATGTACTAATTGTAACTGGTTTGAGATGACTTTCACTTCTTAGTGAGACAATAATTTTAGATAACTAGTATATTGTTGCAAATAGTTAAATAAACAGATTTAGGATAAAAAAAATGGTTTGAAAATTATAAATAAATTATGTTAATCGAAAGCATGTTCACTTAAATATAAAAACACACAAAAAATAGTGATCGTGTTTATTTTGTAAAAAAGTGATTTATTATTTGGTAACCATTAGCTAATGGTATTAAAGTAATCTACTCATTTTGATATTAAAGTCACAGTAACGAGAGTTTAATTTCTAATGAAGTATCATCAAGTGTTAATGAAGTAATTTCCAAAAAAGATATTGTTGCATGTTACATCA